CTATCGCACTTTACGGTGTAATTTAATTTCTGGGTCTTAGTATGTTATAACACGCACATTCATCGAGACCTTGTTAAAAATTTTACTATCCCACTTTCCAACGTGAAATATGATAAGGAGATGAGACTTCGAGTCTCGTGATTGCGTGGACTTATCAAACCATGTAAAGTTTAATAATGGATCTCGATCGATAAACGACAAAGTCTGCACAATCTGCAAAGCGGATTGCAAAATTTCGCGAAAGTGGAAGTAATATTATTGGACATTTGATGAATAGAGTGATTAAAATTTTTATTTTTGAAAATGGTTCGTGAAACAACAAAAAATTGGAACGAATTTATCATGTTTCTGTGCTCTTATATTTCGCTTTTACCAGCTTCAGAAATAGTCTGTGGAAAGGATATCAACGGAAGTTACAGTGAAATTAGCTTGTCATATCCTCAGAAATAGCGCTCTCCGCATTGTCTGGTACAAGAACAACATAACCCGCGCTAACACGGTAATACATAGCCCGCGCGAGAAGGGTGTCTCTTAATGTCGTTTAGAGCAAGAACAAGGTAGTTTCGGGGTTACACTGACTGATAAAGTGGCATTGTTCGCATAAAGTCTCTAATCCGTGTGAGATTATGTATATCATATAAAGAAATTCTTAATGAAGATGATTTATAAGGAACCTAAAAATTGAAAATAAATAGTATGCGTCAAAGAACAAATGCAACATAGAACGTTACATGATATTATTTTTTCTAGCAAATTATCATCAGTTTTCAATTTTTTGCAAAATTTTTTTTCACCAATCTATAATTGCTTTCTATATTATTATCTTTCATTATTTTTTATAACTAAAAAATTGTCATATCCTGAAAGTTTTTTTATAGAAAAAACTAAACATTTTTTTCTGTGTAAGAAGAAAGATTTATAAAAAAATAGCCTACCTACAATTTTAATATAATGTATTACAACGTTTGATAACTTGTAATAATTTTTATTGTTGCAAGATATCAAACGTTGTAATGCATTATTATCACAAGTAGACCTGTGTCGATTGTTCAAAATTCTCAATGCAAATTTTAGTACAACCGTTAGGTCATCGTAGGCGAAGGGCCTACAATATTCGTGATCGTTGCTTCGAACTTAGCGAGTTTCGTGAAGAGGCGACGGCTCCGACAGCTATGCAAAGCCAAATCCCGGTGCAATTAATTCTCGGGCGAAATCGAAGCACGATCCTCTCGATGGAATATAATCGCGCTCTCTTGGCCGGCGTCACGACCAAAGGTGACTCGTCGAGAGAAAGGTCGCTTATCTCTCTTGAAGCCGATCGTGTAATTCAACGGTCGAAGCTGGAATACATACGGAAAGCGAGGAAGTTATTGTTAGGCGATGGATGTAGTGAAACGAGAACCTAGCAACGATCGACAAATATCGTTGAATGCATCGCCGCGTTTCTCACGATTAAACTACGAATTAATCGGACGAGTTTTACACTCGTCCGACGCATCGACAATCGAGTCACTTTTCTTCTCGAGTTGAGGATAATAGCGTAGCGTCACATCGTTAACGCAAAACGCATTCGTTATTCCCCGTTTGTTCGGTTCCAACTGCGTCAACCCATTGTATTTTAACGATTTCAATGACAATCACGTGGAAGGATCCTACGTGCACGTTTTTTGCTCTGCACAAATTTGACGCTAATCAATATCTCCGGAGAGCGTTAAGTAAAAAATATGTTTAGAAAAAAGGAGTATGAATAATTGTCACTTTGAAAGGAGAATTAATATTCAGGCAGTATATTAGCGTGATTTAAATCACGACGTGTAATTTATTTGTAGAATGGTATACGAGCTAAAGTCATAAATATTACAGCTTCGGAAAATACGGTAGAAGGGAAGAAGACGACATCGATTTTCGCTTGTAATGCTCTAAAAACCACACACAATGTGTTACACTGGTGTGTTGTGGGCAGCTCTCCCTTATCTAATCCTCTTAGGGTGATCTCGAAACTCGGATTCGCCTCGGACCTACGTCACTCGTAGCTTGCTTCTGACAGGGCATAACAATTTCCACCAGATGAACATTACCAGTTTACCAGTTTACTTTGCGAGGTATATGCAGAATCAGGAAGCAGACCCAAGTCCTTCTTCGTCTCTTCCCCCTTCTCCAATTACGAAAGCTCGTGAGGTTTCCGTAGAAAGTTTCGGTTTGCCCGACGCTTCTCGTGCGCGCGTCGCTGACTAAACTGTTTAGACGTGTCCTAGGACGGGTGAAAACTTCGAAGTGACGTTCGAATTTTGGTACTTACCATGTCGAGTAAAGATATTGAAAGCTGTAAAGGATCGACAGGCTAGCGAAAGGGTAAAAAGGTAGACATTACGGCTGAGTCGCGAGTTGAGAAATATACTTCGTCGTGTCGGGAAGTTGGAGAAGTTAAGCGATATATTTATAAATGTGTGTGGACATTCGATACATGTAAAGTGAATTGGTTTCTCAACATTGATGTTCTATGTATATGTATAACTTCGACATTTCATAATAAACTATTAATATATCCATTATTTTTCGAAATAAGTTATAATAATTTCAAAATTTAATTCTATAAATAAATTTTAAAAGTTCGAACATTCCTTGGTAGAAATTTCATGCATTTTTTGAGCAGTTACTAAACAGTTACACCAACTTCTGTCTAGTAACTGAGAAGGAAAACCACTTAGGATCCCAAAAATAGGATGTAATGCTTTGTTTGCAGTTACTGCATACAAAAGTTGCATAAAATCTGAATCCATTTATGGAATAGAAACACAATAAATAATGGATATTAAATTGATTAATAAGCAAGTCTGCTTGTGAAATAGACAGAATAAAATTATCAAGTTCTTGTCCATTTCCTACTCAATATTCGTACAATTAATGAGAATACAGTAATGTTAGATAGTAACTGGATAGGTGTCTAGGAAAACTGCATACATTTCTACCAGGATTTAGCAATTTTAATCGTCAATTTATAACTCAATATGCTTTTTGCTTTTGATTTGGCGAAGTAATCACAAAATAGTATTTGCTGCCATCAAGCCACGTTCTATCTAAGTATAGACGCATCAATATTTCGCCATTAATTTAAGTACGGAATAATCTCTCTCATTTCTGCACAGAATATAGTCCCGGTTTTATTCTATGAATTAATATGTATGTACCTATAAGAGATCTTCGTCTTATGAACTGTCTACGGGTAACATTTACGAGTTCACGAACGCAGAACGAGACAAGACCGGCGCGGCGTCTAGAATGTTCTAGCCTCCACATTTAATCTGGTACTGAAAATTTCAGCTCGTCTCTGCCTAGGAATTCTTGATCTTAACTTTTTTGCTCTTCACGTCCATTCCCATTCTTCTGTCAGCGGCGACGACGACAACGACGACGACGACGACAACGGCAATGACGACAAAGTTAGATACCGACCTCTACTAGTCGTTACATGTGCATACTTATGTACTCTACATACACATATAGTCTGCTAGGCTTAAAAAATATAAGAGTTGAGCTTAGACCCTCGTAAGGTAGCTCCGCAATTTCTTCCTAGTTTATCTATAACGGATTGAAAACGCGTCGGATTATTAAAATCGGAAACTCAATTTGAGTATATAAAGATATCGATTTTGTTTTTTTTTTTAATATTTAAAGAACAATTTTAAATACGAGTTAACATTATATATCAAACGAAAAATTGATTTGCACAAAAACCGATAGAACTTATATAAATGTAATATTTTATAAACGATCTTTTGGCATATTTAAATAAAACGATGTAATCGTTTATGATGATTGAATTATATACTCAAAAATATTGATATTTATATGAATACTTATCAACCCTTCATGGAATAATTTAATAAAACGATACATATATTATTTGATGTCATAAAAGCATTTTTTAAATCATATAAGATTACATTAAATTATCGATTTTATTAAATCCTCGAAATGTATAGTTTATAAAAGTCGGTTTTTGGCTCGAATATGTCAAGAGGAGACAAGATGAAGGAAAGTAGAAAAGGAGGGTAAACTAGCAGACATCGTAACAAAATATATCTTCCATTATTTGAGCATCTAGCACGATCTACTTCCAATTCTTAGGATCATCCAATCGTAGCACAATTTTCCAAGCTTTGCCAACCCTCGTCACTACTGAAAGCTTGAGCCGAAGGTCGACGCGATACTTTTCTGTAAAAAGATCCGCGGTAGGTCGAGTAACTATGGTACCGTTTTTTTAATACTTCTTTGTACGCTTGGCAGTAGGTCAAGAGATTTACCGATTTAAGCGTGAAAGAAGTTTCACATTTGAAAATGTTCTCTATTCAAGTCGGGCTACACATCAGTAGCGAGTAATATTGAAGTAGCACTTGTTCAGGAGTTTCTGATCTAACAAGCAAACCTTTGCAACAGCTCTTTCATCTATTCTCTTAGAAATTTAAAACTATAGAAAAACTTAGAAAACTCTATCATAAAAAAAGAAGAGAAAGAGATGTGTAATGTATTGTCATAATTAATCATAAATTTAACGAGAAAATAGATCATGATGCTGTTTCAATTTCGATAAATAAATGTTTAAATTTGATATGGATTGATATTGATATCACCAAAATTGAACAAATAAATTACGTACAAAAGGAAACAAATTCATGATAGTAATAGAATATAAATAACCTCCCATTTTTTTTTTCATACAAATTTTAGAAATAAATAAAATTTTGCCTTTTCTTCTTGTCTTTTTAAACTATACTCATGTATCAATATCCATAACTCAAAATCATTCCTTGATGCTTTTACTCTGAAAAAGCGTGTTCTATGTTCTTTTATTATCGATAATATAATCGAACACTCGAGGAATCGTTGTCGTGCATTTCCGGTGACATCGCATCGATAGCACCCCCAGGCGACGACGTATATACTCGCAATTGACATTTATGCGATCTCACACGAGCTTTCTCTTTCTTTTTCTGTTTCAGTCGCTGCTCTGAAGCTACTTCACATAAATGTTCCGGCGTACACCCTCAGGGGCAGGAGCGCGCTTCTAGAATGCAGGTGAGAATGTTCGCCATAAGCTACACAAACGTCAACTGCTTTCTGCGTGCGCGAAATAGTCACTATGTCGGCGGTGATGTGCAATTTTCTTAGATTATTGTGGTGCTTTATCTTATAAATGTATTATCAGGATTTTATCCTCTCGATAATAACGACATACATGCACTTTGAAAAGGAAATGGTTTCAAATCCCGAAATAGTATTTCATAATATCGACAAGTATATTGGTAGACAGATATAACGTATCCGCGAAGTCCATCGAATGCAAATTACTTCGGAAATTATTAACGCACGACTAATTTTGTAATTGAAAATACATTGACTCAAATAGTAGTTTAAGAATTTAGTCAATAATGTTTAAATATAAAGATAATCTTAACTGTCAATAATGTTTAAATATAAAGATAATCTTTGCACTGTACCTTCTTTCTAAATTTAATTTCCGTGTTTCCAAAAATATCTGATAATCCTTGCAAGATATATTGACACAAATGTCTTAAAACTGTTCTTTAGAAAGTTCTAGCTTTCTGTATTAATATGTTGTAATTTGCTTCTATAACTTTTAGCATTTGGAATCTTTTTTGTACATACAATACATTAAGCTAAATATTATAACGTTATAATTTCACGTTATATTTAAGATGACTTACAGTTTACAGCTGTAGATTTATCTTTTCATACGTATGATAAATAATAATTTATTTAATATTTGACATAATATTGGAATATGAAAAAATAAATATTACTTAATATTAATCAGTTAAAAAAAACCTAATGCATGTAACTACTAATAATGAAAATACATTATCTTTACAATTTATGACCTTATATACCTACTTTAAAGAAAAATGTATATTCATACTTTTAAAGAAATCTTAAATAACTATTATTTCTTGTAATTTACATTTGTTTTCTTTCTCGATAAAGCACTCAATTATGAAAATATCATGGAGAATTTCACCGTGAAAAGTCAAAGCTTTTATCCGCTTTTGTTCATAAAGCACAGTCGAGTTAAACAGATACGCGCCGCCGAGATATATTTTGCGAATTATCGATCGATACACTCTTTATTTTATATTTGCAAGAGAGATGATGCGCATCTTATTGAAACAAGACGCTACTTTACCCTCATTACATAATTTCTGCATTCCTCTTGTCGGCATACCTATTAGCTTCCTTTTGTTCCGGCACATCCTCCCTCATTATTCTCTCCAATTACAACATCCGATTTTACGTACCTAACAAAATCTCGTTCAGCGAACTTTGTTAAAAAATCTTTAATATCCTTTTTCAAACATTGAGTTCAGGATCGCTAAAAGCGAGTTGAGAAAACAATTTTTTTGAATGAAAAGCATCTTTTTATAAGAAATTTATATTGAGGTAAAAAGAAAGAAACAAAAAAAAATATTTATCCTATTTAATATATCAGTGGAACGAAAGCAGAAAATTTATTTTTTAAGAAAATCCCCAAAAAATATTTCTTAAGATTTTTTTAACATTCATCTTTACGATGTTAAAATTAATCATTAGAAAATAATGTTAACAAGAAAGAAAAAAATATATATGTTGCATAATCGGGTTTTAGAGTCTCTTTCCAGTTTGCTTACTCTCCGCAATTTGCACGGGCCATGATTATGTTAGTCCTGTATTGAATAATTCAATTGATTTATTCCATTAATCAAGTTACGCCTATGCCTACGTAAAGAGGACTTCGAGAGCTAATTTGATCGGTTTTCGAATGACCGGCCTGTAGCACGCTCTTGCTGCGGCATAACAACGATAAATGATCGATTCGGTGGTGTAGAACTTGCTAAATAATTCGCCCGGAGTATACGGCATACAATAAAACCGAAATATCGCGACATAATCACTAATGTATACCAACCCAGGTTCCAGGCCAGCGGGCGTGAATTCTCTATATGTATGCACAACATGTGCATGGAGCGCGGTGTGCAACGTAACCACTGTTCATTCATTACAAAGCAAATGGTAGGACGTAATGAAGGACTAGACCTCCCAGCGGATAGTAGATTTTACACGTGCGCCGAAAGCGAAAAACTATACCATCACTGTTGCATCGACGGGCGCGTGCAAATTCCATTTCCATCCGGAATTATTAAGACCGCGAGCGGTAGCAGTACCGTAGAGAGGAAGATACGCGAGGAGATCGAACGAAAAATAGAACAAAAGCGCCAGCGGGATAAACCCGGCGGGAAATGCAGCCACAGAGGAGACAATACAGAAGAGACGGAACAGTTTCTCGCATTTACCCCGCGAAGGTAAATCGTGTAAGCGGAACTCATAAAAGCATCGGTAAGAAGCGAAGCAATAAAGTACGTATCGAGTTTGCGGTTAATGTTAAAGGAAAACGATAAATAAAATTACAAATAAAAGCGGGGCTGTGGGAAGAAGAGGGTGGATGGACGGGTACGGAAATGTTGCGGGGAGGTTGCGAGATGCAAGAGAGAGATCGAACAACGAAGAAATCTCGATACTTTTCAAGTCTCTTCGTAGTTTATTTATTTACTCGCCTACACGCGGAGATAAGTCTGTACGGGAAAACTTCTCGCCCTTTCTCCTGCTGCGCTTTTCTCCCTCCGTCCACGGTTTTCTTCCTGTCGGAAAAAGATGCCCCTCGACCCCTAACTCGGCCGTGAGACTCGTAACTCTCGCGAGATTTCTCCGCTCAAGTTCTTCACAGACGTTCTGGACTGCCGTGCTGCTTCGCGATCGTTTCCTCTAATCTTCCGAATCGGAATTCCATCGCCGACATTGATGGTTGCTGCTGCTGCACGACGACGGATCGAAGCCGTCAGCAGAGAGAGAGAGAGAGAGAGAGAGAGAGAGAGAGAGAGAAGAAAAAGGACGCACCGAACGAAAGAAACAGCGAGCTGTTAGTCAGCAAAACTCGTTTCAGCTGAACGATCCGTCATCAAATATGGGCGGAGGAAGAAAGAAAGGAAAGGACCGGAGGAAACGAAAGAAAGAAGAGAAAGAGAAAAGCGATCGCCAGACGCAAAAAGGAATCACCTTGAAGGTCCACCAAAGGCCATGGATTTCCCACCCCTTCGTGTGCACCCGGAATATACGTGACAGATCGATCAGCCCTTCGTAGTATTCGCGACGCGAATGCACGATAGTCCAAACGTGCGATATGGCTTGTGTATTGAATGGCTGATTCGCGGTCGATTCATTTCTTATCATTTTGAGCAATAATAGTAAATTGCAACAATAAATATACATTGACAAAAAATCAGATAAATCCAAAGAAAAATGTTGAAAATTTCATTTTAAGAATGTGTCCATTTGCTTTTTAAATGGCAATAATTCTTTCATACATTTCCTATTTTCTTGCTTCTCGACTCTCTCTCTCTCTCTCTCTCAATTTATATTTCTTTTCCTTCTATATTTCTTACGTTTTTTATATATTAAAATTTTTACTTGATTATCCATTTATATAAAAATGAATGTATTAATTAAATTGATACATTTTATCCTATGGTGTACACACACGATGATCTATCGCTAATCGATGGAGAGTCAACATAATAACCGAGGTAATAAAATATGGAATGTATATATAATTTTGCTGAAAGATCTAAAATTTTGCTGACTATAGATCTGAAATTTTGAATTGTTAAGATAATTTTGTTGAAACTAAAAATTAATAAGGAATTGCTGACAAAAAATGTCTATATTTTAGCTATTATATTAATTTGAATTTCCAACCAAATCATTCTCTCTGATGGTTCTATAAAATGATTTTCATATTTATATCCAGTAAAATTTTAGAGCTTTCAGTAAAACGATTTTTTTCTGTATAAAAAGCAATTATTATAAAATAAGAATAAATCGATTGTTAGCGTTTGTGTAATCAAAGACAAGATTTTCAACTGACTGCGTACTGTCAATTTATAAGCTCACAATCCGTCTGCCTCAATACCTTCTCACCCTTTCTTGGCCCTTAGGTTGGGACCACCCCGGTTACCCATGCCATCTGCTAGATGGATGGTAATTGCGTACCCTAAGTTATCACGGAATCGAAGTTTCTTCCGGTAGGAAACGACAAGCTTCACGGAATCTCTATTAGGAGGGCTCGATCGAAGAGCCGCGTGGACGTGTACTACGTACACACCGCCCAGTTTGTGTAAGAGTCTTGTAGTCACCATGTTTAGCTTGCACACGAACGTTCGTTCTCACGTAACCGCGGAATCACCTCGAGCGGAGGATAATTAAAGCGTAATTATATACTTTGGCGAACGAGGGAGCGGAGGATGGGTGTAATGACGTTTAGTCGACACGTCGTAGATTTAAACGTCGTAATTGATGTAATACTTAATGAACAAGAATATGATCAGTATGAGATATCATTGCTTTTGAGGAAACTTCCTAGAAAAATTCCTTGAATTTAATACAATAGCAAAATATGTTATGATAAAAAATACTGAAGAGTACAGTGACAAAAATATATTTTCTGTTTTTTGCAAACGATATTCAAACAGTTCTTATATTATTCGTACTACACTAAAATAGTTATTTTCTTTATAAGAATAACAAATGAAAACATATATTCGTATATATAAGAATACAAATGAAAACATATATTCGTGTTTTGCGATGTTTCAATTCTTTAGTAAAAATCTTTAGTAAAAATTCTCGCTTTTTGCTTTACGTACAATTATAAAAATTGAAGTATAAAAAAATAAAATCTATGGTTTTCATCTATCTTTTGTTTTTTTAAACAGTTTTTTGTATTATTCGTATTAAAATAATTACAATATTTTTTTCTATAAGAATAAATGAAAACATATATTTATGTTTAATTAAATTATTTAAACAATTTTTTTATTATTTGTATTAAAATAGGTATTTTCTCTGTAAAAATAACGAATGAAAATGTATGTTTTAATTCTTTAATAAAAATCCCTTCTTTTTTCTTTATATGCAATTATAAAAATTTAAGTACAAAAAATAAAATCTACGATTTTTAATTATTATTT